AAGTCATAATAATGAAATAGAATTCAGGGACTTCTAAATTAGAGAAAGCAGCACTCTTTCCATGGAGTTGGTAAACCATACTGTTTTCTCGGCATTCTCAAGTTTCCCACTTAAAGATGTACTGAATGTGTAGTCATCCATAAAAGGGAAAGTAGGAGGTCTGCAAAGGAAGAATGTGGTAGACAGAAATATGTGATCACAGTGTTAGAGTTCTTGAAGTAATCACTGTGGACTTTTCTGTTTTTGATTCAATTCCCTTTCTCTTTAGCTTCAGTCAGTCTGTATTACAAGTCTTAAAATTGATTCTTGATTGATATAACAGGTTGAGAGCTGATAATGATTCCAAAACACGGATGGGAAAGTTCATCAAAGATGTAAATGAGCAATGAGCAATGAGGTCTCCAATTAGGAAATGAGACTGGAGTAAAGCGTGTAGGAGGCCAGACAGGAAAGCTCTTGTCTATGGCCTATAAGGCAGGCCAAGCAGTGAAGGCTTCTTGTGCAGAACAGGGATTGTCTTGAAGGAGACACACAGAGAGCTAGGCTCTTTGAGCACATGATTTGGTAAGCTTCTGTTTAGCAACTATTAGGGATAATACTCATACTTAGGGGAGGTACCATGGACTTCAAATAACATTGTACTCAGCCTGTCACTTGACACTTTAAAAATACAAGCTTCTTAACATATTCTAATGAAACAGTACCTGTATTTAATTCTTTTTGTCAGAACTGGGGATTGCACTCAGGCCCTTGCACTTGCCAGGGAAGCGCTTATTCCACTGAGTCATCTCCCTGGCCCCCTATTTAATTCTTTTAGATATTATTTTTAGGTGTTTTATCATATATATTTCTGGGATATTACTTAATCCCTTTAAAAATCTCCTTATCTATTTCGTTTGTTCTATAAAGGGAAAAAATGAAAGAAGCCATGTAAAAACCTTACTCTAGTGATTGGCACAAATGTTCAATAAAAATTATGCGGGCCAAATAGCAGGGCAGTACAGAAAACAGTTCTGAGGTTAAATTTCCCAGTGTCAAACATATTCAAACGAAAATATGTCTAGGAATGAATTTCCTGTCCTCCATTATTTAGCATTTGAGTGGGGGAAAAGCCAAGAGCTGACCTACTCCAGACTTCTGTTACTCATTAATGAATATTAACTTATTACATATTATATATATATATATATATTTTTTTTTTTTTTTTTTCTGGGATTTGGAATCAGCCAGAAAAATACACAGGAGGACATAAAAACCAGGATTTAGGGGGAAGGAGAACCATTTCTTGCACTGCCAAATTATAAGCTTTATTTTTCTTCATATGTATCAAAACACAGAATTACTCATGTAAGAGTTGAGAATAAATGCAAACTGATCAGTGCAAAATGATGCCTCAGAAACTAGATCTATGAAGCACCATGTGGAGATTTCAAGTTTTTGACAGAAAAATTTTCAGTACACTATTATTATATTATTATTGTTTTTGTCTTTTTGAGACAGGGTGTGGCTATGCAGTTCAGGCTGGACTTGAGCCCAGGCTGGTCTCTAACTTTCAATGATCCTCTTGCTTCCCAAGTACTGTCAATAAACAATTATTATATAGAAGCCAAAATGGAAACAGAAAACATATTGAAGAGCAAATGTACTTTCATTTCTACTCTTGTCTGCAATTATTTCTTCTTAGAACTAGGCCAGCATTTATGGTTAATAACATGAACTCTGAGATATGAACATTATGGACTACTGGATATAATGTGTTAAATGTGAGGCTATCTCTCAAGGAAAAGCACAGTCATACGACTTGGGTACAGGGTGGAGGTGGAGGCAGGACCATCCACAGTCTAGGCACACAGCAGGTGCTCAGGTAGTACTTTTGTTTGAGTGCAGGTTCCTGATATCTTTTACCTGCGGTGAGATTTTTCTGAGTCAAGTTCTATATCAAGCAAGGTCCCAGAAACTGAAGTATGACTCCAAATAATATTTTGGGCTTAAAATCTGGGCCTCAATTCTGACTCTTAAGGAAATATTGTAAAATCTCCTTTCCTTTTTTGGTTGTGTTGAAACCCCAGCTACAAGATTCTTTGTACTTGGCTTCTAGCCTCCTAAGTTTGTTTCTGCTCCAAGCACTTATTAGGAGACCATGAGCCAGATAATTCTTGTCAAGGTCCAATTGAGGTCTTAAAAATAACCTTTGAAGCTGGTTTCAGAGACCTTAAAAATGATTAGATCTGACTCCTAGCTTAAGAAAATCAGTTAGTTTACTTTCTACTTGGCTTTCAACCCTAATGACATTACGAAATGGTTGCTTCCAACTGGAACATTCAAATGTTTTTTGCCTTTTCACACAGTAACCAAAAGCAAACCAGACACAAAGTTATTTTTACCTTAAGTTTTTCAGGTCTTAATTCTTATGTGTGTACATGCCTGTGAAAGCAAGGTTTAGAGCAAAAAAGCTTTTTAAATTTTTTTAAATTAAAAAAACCCTTTTATTTATTTAATTGGTACAGGTCTCGCTTTGCAGCTTGGACTTGTAGTGATCCTCCTGTCTCATGCTCCCCAGCACTGGAATTGCAGGAGTGTGTCACCACACCTGGTTTCGGTGGCTGGCATTGCTGCATGGCATGTAGTACTGGGAATCAAACCCTGGTCCTTTCACCTGCCAGGCAGGCACTTAGATTGCTGAGCTATCTCCAAAGCCCCAAACAAGCTATTATGACCATTTATAAGATTGGTTTTGTGCTCCCTGAATGTATAAAGAAAATTAATTGAAGGCAATTTAGAATATCTTTTAAATATATCAAGCGTGTTACATCTTGGTAATAACATCAACTCCTCGAGAAAGGGGTCCCTTTGTAATTCTAGTTCTATCCAGATAAGTGTATATACACAGGTAGCTAGAGAATTTTTATTTCAGTTTTCTGATGTTTATTTATGCCATCAACTTCAGGGCTAAGCATCAATCAAAAATCCTTTTGTTTCCTCTCCCATTTTTAAAACTAGACAAGTATTTAAAAGTGCATTTTTAAGAATATAATTAGCACATCTAACCTCATGATATTATGGCAATGATGATTAAATGATGCTACTGTAAAGATTTAAATATAGGAGGGGCTGGGGAGATGGCTCAGTAGGATAAGCGCTTGACTGGCAAACGCAAGGATCTGAGTTCAATCCCCGGTTCCGCAAAAAAAAAAAAAAAA